CATCGTTGACACTTACGAACATTCAAACTATTTCCATAAACTTCTTTGATATTCTTTGTTGCCACAAAGGCGTTGTTTCCCTTCTTGTATTCAAACAGCATTACATGCCGAATGTGTGTCTCATCGTGTGTTATCACCATAAGGGATTAGAGTATACTAAACTTTACACGTTATATAGGCTACACTAGCGTGATGTTTAGGCAGTTAATTTAACTATTATACGTAATGTACTTCTTTTGGAGGTGGTTAATGAAAGTGTTCCAAAATGCAGCATTAATTTCTTGATGACCTAATATATATGTATTAGGGTTTACACCAGGTATCCAACCAACAACTTTATTATCTGGTTCCAAAATCACTACCTGGATCCGTCAAAGGAATGACTAACATCAAACTGCATGTATTCTTTTCTTGGCATTCCAACTTTCCAATATCAAGAATGAAACATTGTGCATGTTTTGTACATGTTAGGAAATAAAAAAAAAGAATTCATCAAAGTTTTACTGCGTGTTTGTTTTGTTTTCCCATGCATTCCTTTCTCTCTGAAAGTATTATAAGCCTCATCCCCACCAATGATAGTGTACTGCTATTGTTTACTAGATACAGTGTACTACATACATAACATTACACAGTTATCAGATTGAGTACTGAGGCTTGCAAAGTTATAACACAAAGCTGTATGCAGTGCAGCAAACTGCTCCATGGGCAGTGTACACTTAACTCCAAACTGCCACTTGTCATTGCACATTCACAAAGTCCATTGGTTGATATAGTTCGGGTGATACTATAACCTGTACCATAAGAGATTGTTCTGCCTAATCATATAAACTGTGAATCCATGACGTAAATTGGAAGCATGTGACTGGCCAAGAAATAATATCAGACTGTGACACTCATTTGAAGGTTGCTGTAAAATATCTGACTCTAAAGTAAGGGAGAAACCATAGACGTAACTAATGTAAGTAGTAAGTACATTCAGCCATGGCTTGCAAGCTGGAAGTTACAACCACCTATAAGCTGCAAATCCTTGCTTGTTTTGGATGGAAAATTTTTTAAAAGGCACACAAAATACAGTTAATTAGGAAGTGACACCGAACATACAGGAGAAAATGAGAGTGACAGTACAGCAAACAGTAGGCCTAATTTAACTAACCTACTATGAGCTAGGCTAGGCCTATACTGTAAATACAAATGCTTTACTTCAGTTTCATGATTTTTCATAGTTATGTTTTTATACTATCATTTAATCTTATTCCACATTACTTTAGCTTTTACAATTCTACCAAATTTACAAAACCACATATATCGGCAACCCAACTCTAAGCTAACAAGTCTTTTAGTTCCCATTGACCTTTAACAGTAAGTAAACTGATGGGCACCCCGATACCTGACAGGTAATGATCCTCAGGTACCTGTGTTGGAAATTTCTACCCGGTGTAAACACTAATATGTACATGACAATATATTTCCTTATTGTATAACTACAACTGCTCTTCAATTTACTTTTTTATATATAAAAAAATTCCTCCCTGCATACTGGTTGTTCTTATTGAAAGCTGTCAGTAGGTAAAATCAAGTTGCGAGTCCAGCATACATTTGCTGGCATTAGAATTTTCTGTCTATGCCATACTTTATAAAATTTCCACTCTGTTTATAAATGGTGGATAATAATGTGGTTTGGATTAGTTTTCAGCCAAAAAGACAAATCTTATCAAATGCTGTCACTGTCCAATGGGGAAATCGGGATCTTCGGCCAGACACTGGCAGCATCTGCTCGGATTTAAGGAGTTAACCTTCCCATGATCTCAATATCCACACTCAAAAGATTGCTCACCGAACAACCTTAACAAAACTACATTAAGACTTACACATGTACTTCACACATATGTACTTTCTTGCTTACCTGTTTCTTAATATCTTAAACCTTACTCATAATTGTCCATCTGCAAAACACAAAGAAATAATGTTGAATTATACAAGTAGAAATAAAGACAAACAAATTTTAAGATCTAAGCTTACTATTATTACAATGAAAAACTTGTTTCCTGAAATATCCAGAGGTACATGTATGATTGCTCTTTAGGTAATAAATATGAAAATATCAAAAGACCTGAAACAAGTATATAAATAAAGTGGCTTAGATGAGAGAGAAAGGGGTAAAATCTACAATAATCAAATCAAGTGTGACAAAAGGTTTCAAGTTCAATACACACACAAAATAGTGTTAGTCCAAATATAACATCAACTAATTGTAGCATTAAGATGTTCTAGACAAATCTAGAAACCTTCACGTATGGCAATACAAGACACATGCACCCACATAGGTAGACAATGCATTCATCAGTAACTTGAATACACGAATCATTTCATCCAAATAAATAATTCACACACCAAACATAGCTCTTACTGATCACATGCTTTGATTAAATATAGCATACAAGAAAACTTTCATGTGATTCATAGTGAAACAAAAACCTGCATTGTGAAAACATGAAATATTCAGTGTCCTATCAAGACAGCTTTTTATGCCCTAGATATATAAGTTCTTTTCTAAACTCTACTGTACAAAGACTCTCCTTTTTCCACATTTACCATTTATATACAAGTCTGCAAACAAATCATCCCCTTATAAGTATCTACATACAGTATATGAAAAGTACTGTAAGATGCCTATTCTGAACTGGACTGTATAGTTTTTAGTTCATTTAAAGACTTCTAAATGAGGAGGAGAAATAGGAAAGAAAGTGTCCACCTAAAGATACATCTTTTTTGAATTACTTACTACTTTACCTATGATTGAGAAGAAAATTACAGTGAATCACAGGAGGAATGTAGATTTTGTAAATTTAAGTAGAAATGAGCATTTACAAAGAATTAGAGCATATACAAATCAAGTGAATTGTCAACATGTCCAAATATAGACAAAACTGAAATAGGAATCTTACAAATCATCCCATAACCGAGATAAAAGATAGAGCCACAATCTTATTTTGGCATAAGCTACATCCCTCCTATTAACTGTGCTAAGCAACTAAGTGAGTTTGAGTGGATTAGAAAAATTAATTTCAAAAGGTAAAATAATATATATGTGCATACTGAATATTTAATAGGTGAATTTAACCCAAGATAACAAGACATTCTGAAGAGGTCAGTCATCAAAATTGAACCACATGAACAATGAGAACTTAGAGAAGATACTGCTCAAACATTTACTTCTAGTACATCATTCAAAGTTGGTGGGAATTCTCTTGACAATGAAAACTCACATCCACGGTACTGCTTAAACTTCATTTTCCTACAATACCCTATGCACAAACTGTTAAATAAATCAAGGTTTATATCAACACTGACATGAATTAAAACAGTTTATAGCTTTCTGTAATTTTTATCATGTTATACATTCTTCCTAGAACTGAAAGTCAAATGCCATTGGGCTCCTACTGTAGACAAAATCAGTGAAAAATGTTGTTTTATTAATTTATTGCATATGTAGCTGGGGGTTTTTGAATTAATTGCGTATGTATATTTGTGTATATAGTTTGGGGGTTTAAAAGTATGTACTTAAGTGTTCATGTGTATGTGATAGCTTTCTGCAGATCAGAATTTTCAGGAAACTGTGTGGCTCCCTAGAAATCTACCTAGTGTGTTTCTAACAATGTCAAAAAAAAAACTTGTCCAACAGGCAGAATATAATGGTAAAACTTTTATAGCAGGGATGGCTTGGAAACCAGATTCAATTAACACAGAAAAACACCTTCCCACATTTTTGAACACTGCAAAACAAATAAACACAACGTAAGCATAGAAAATACAAACATATTTAGTAGAGAAACAAAGACAAACAAACTCAAAATTAATGAAGACCTACTTATACAAGAGCTCAAACCAAAATTAAACCAACATAAAGGAACACCTTTATACCTATATTAATCACCTAACATCTAACTTCTACACCCCGTACAATCTCATACCTGTTCACACTCTTGTCCCTAAGACATGGGCCCAGTAACGGCCAGTTTAAAACTGTCTTTGTTAACCTGAAGATGACCTAAGAAGGTCGAAACATTATTCTTGTACTTTATCTTAATTAAAGTTTTTAATATCCATACCAGCCATCTCTGCTATACATTTTTACTTCAAGTGGGTATCTCGTCATCATTAATGGTAAAACTTGTCATCCTGGGAATTATGCAATAAGAATTACACACCTTTGACTAACTCATCACTGGAAGTCCAACGCTTAACTAAAAACTAATTCTGAGGCTTGCAGTACAAGATGCTTGAATAGTGTATGCACACAATGTTAAAAAACCACCAAGCCAAAACAACAGTAGAGCAGGGCACAGAAGTGATAAATAAATGTAACTAAAATTTACAGAAATAAAATCTGAGACAGTAAAGAATATATAAATACTACACATGACATATTTGTTAGCTTGATCAAGATAGCTAAAAAAAAAGATGAAATTCCTATCAAGTGTTAATATTCTAACAAAAGAAAGCTTTTTCTAAATAGATGCTTAGAGAACTTAACCTTTTAATAAAGACATAGAATCACTTATAAAAGGGTTGACACAGAGGTTTATAGAGATAAACATGTTAAAGAGATATCATTAAGGTTCAAAACATTAAATTTGTCTTGGAGAGTTTTTATGTTTACATTAATTGCAAAAAAAATCAATTAGCTTTCATGGCACTAATCAATGTTATTAGTGCTCATAGATAAAATTGCAAGCTCTAGTGAGTGCCGAAATGTACCAATAAATGGTAAAGGAACAGATTCTTAAGCTGATTAATTTCTTTAAAAAAGAGTGGAATGACTTTTACTTAAATACTATTTATATTGAAGAACTGTTTGTTCTGGATAAGCCTGAGAAATGTTTGAGAACAAAGCTAACAGATTTGTCAAGATATATCATAGAAAATTTGCAGAAGCTAAACAGAGATAATGATGTTTTTTTTTTGGAGGTTTATGAGAGACCACAAAATCTCTGATGGCTAGAAGATAGTCACTATAGTTCCAATTTTTAACAAGAAAGGATTCAAAAACATATACATCTGTTAGTATGACTTTTGTTACCAAAGTTTCAAAATTTGTTAAGACATGATTTAGAAAAAGTACTTACAAGCTTAACATTAATTAATGATTCTCACTATGTTTTTCAATAGGATTTTTTTGCCTAACCAATTTGATGGGTTCTTTTATACAACTTCCACTTTTTTTTTATTATTGTGGCATCCTGATTTATATTTTAAACCTTAATTTTTGCAAAAATCCTTTATTAAGATGCATCACAAAAGACCAATTTTTTTTAAGTCAAATGTCTATGAGACTAGTGGAAAAGATTAATAACTTGAAAACTAGCTTAATGGTAGAAACCAGAGATGATAATGGGCATTATTCTTAATGAGATAATGTAACTAGTTGGATCTCTCAGGAATACATTTGTGGCTTTTTATTGTTCATTCTTTATGTTAATGATTTGTAGATTTCTTCAATACATATTGGTGGAGGCCAAATCATTAACCTATCATAGGAGTGCTGACTGCTAAGCATATCAAATCAGTCCTGTATCTAATAGAATTGGATGATTAACTCTATTACCTACGAGCACCGATAACTATGATAGTTGGAATAGTTGAAAATTACTATTTGACTCACTAATTTTGATTGATTACTTACATGACATTAATTACTTAATGCATTAATGTCAAATACATAATCAATTAATCAAAATCGGTGTTTGATTATGATAATTTCCAACTATCCTAGTAATCAAAATATTGCCATTATGATTTTTTATTATTATTCATTCAAGGTTGATCAACTTAATCATTTAGCATCACAACTAATGAAAATAATCAACTAATCCAAATTATTGTTTCCAATTATTACTATTTCTAATAATTTCTAACTATCCAAGTAATGAGACAATAACCAAGCTGTAGTGTCTACACTCATATCATGACTGAGATTCTACACAATGCCAGTGATGAAATACTCAAAGCATTTTGAATAAAACAATAACTTTGCCTTTAAATTTTATTACAAGGTGAGTCAAAGCAACAAAAAATATTGCCAACTATAGACATGTAATTATAAAAATACAGTAACTGTCTCTAAGCTACTTATTAGCATTATATGTTTTAAAAATGTTCTAATCACATTTCTTTTATCAATAATGTCTAATAAGCCATGTAACTGAACCAACACTACAATATAACATGTTAACTTGATTATGGTACACGGATGGCAAACAACCAGCCAAATTCTATGGCATTTGTAGGTGTTAATGTGGCAGAATCCAATCTGCATGCATCAGTATTATAACATATCTGTTTTATGTCACCCATTACTTTATTCAACCATCTTTTATAACAAGTTACAAATCACAATCTACAAATACACATTCTTACTCTTTTACTATTGCTTCTGTTTTAAATATGTTCGTATCAACCATTCAGTCCTCTTTAAAAACTAACATTATTTTCAGCACAAGATTTCTGCAATCTTCACCTATTGCAAAAATCTTCCAAACAAACACTATTAACCATATATTTTATAATGTAAGAATTTCTTTCAAAAGTGCATGGTTATTTATACGCTACATTCTATTCCAAATCATGAACCATTCATTATGGTCTGCAATTCCTTACTAGTGTCAAGACTTTTAAAAAGTAGCTGTTAAATCTTCATGTCAACTCTAATTCAGGTTTCTTTAAAGTTTTGGGACAAATTTCAAAAGGGGCTTCAGTCAAACATATTCTCAAAAAGTTTCTAAACACTTCTAAACAAAACAGTTTCTTTAAAATTACAAATTATTATGAAAAGCTATCAATGTATCAATAACATATTAATTGAATAAAAACAAAAAGGTTAGACAAAACTCCTGAAAAAAATGCTACTTTAAACTACAGAGCTTCAAAAGTCTAATCTCTAGCTTAACTTCATACAAATTATACTTCATTGTAACACAGAAATCATTTCTAATTTCAGATGCCAGTATGAATAATAATTAAATTATAAATTTTGTAAGAGCCCCATACACCATTAGCAAACCTCAAAAAGGAAAAGGATACACTTAAGTTAAAGGTGTTAAAATTGTGGGAAATACAAGTTACATTTTAAGGTATTTCCTTTCTGGTGCCATATTTTTTGTCCCTTTTTATTTCACATTCCATCTTATTATGAAAAAATTAATTAAAACATTAAACGTTTTATATTTCCTTTACAAATTACATAGTTTATCCTTTCTTTTCTATGCCATAATTTCCTTTACACTTACTTTCATTTCAGTCTCTAATGAGTAATATAAATAGTACGAAATTACGACCCTTACACTTTACAAGTGTTACACTGTTAGTGTTACACTTACACCGTAACTTGTAAGATACAGTTACAATAATTTTCTACTTAAGTTTAATTTAAATGTTTAACTTTAATAGGTTTCATTTTCACTCTTCAAAATGAAACGATTTATCACAAAAACTTAGTCCAATTTACATATAATGCAATTTTAGAAGAGAAATACATTTTTCGTTCAGATTATTTTATACTAACTTACATTTAACACTGGTCAAACAAAAACGAAAAATAGGTCGCTCACCCTAGGTATTTTTATGTTACTTTCTACTAGTACTAGTAGTACTACTACTAGAATTTTACTTAGTCAGTGTTCGGTACAGTTTTTAACTTTAGACTCTAGTCCAGAAGTATTCAGCCGTGAAACTAAACTTGGATAAATGAAGTTTAAATTATTTTCGGAATTCGAAGGATGAAGAGACAATGTAGATTTTACATAAAATGTGTGGTAATATAGAAATTTCACAATGTTCGCAATCTCCAATAAGCCTAACGTGAGGAGTTCAACCTACGCTAATTCTACAGTCATCCACATCCGAAGATTTTGACAAGATTTTTATTGCGCACGCATGGACTAACAAAACGACCTCTATCATATAAAAGTGGCCACACCAAATATTTTTATCAAAACATTGGTGACTGCTGTTCAGAATGAATCACGTATTTCTATAATAGTTTATCATTGTAAGTGCATGTAAAACTTTGGACATTAAAACTGATTTCTAAACTATCTAGGTGAAAACTGAAACAGTGGAAAGTGAAAATTCACGGAATTAAATGGTGAGATATCAGTATTTATCATACTCCCTAAAATATAATATTTGTTGGAAAATGAACATTATTGATTGTTTAAATTTCTTAAAAAATATGTAACGTGAAACTCAAATGAAGTTGTAATGCTTAAAATAAGGTATTAACTATATAATGGCATAATCACATGTAAAGTAAACTTGAAAATTTGTCATTTCACTAGAACAAAAATTAGTTTGTTTGTTGAATTTCGTTCAAAACTACTTGAGGGCTATCTGCGCTAGGGTTCCTAATTTTGAAGTGATAGATGAAAAGGAAGTCAGCTAGTCAACACATTGAACGCCAACTCTTGGGCTACTCGTTACTAGCGAATAGTGGGATCAATCGTTATATTATAATGCCCTCGTGGCAAAAAGGGCGTGCATCTTCGGTGACAGAATTCGAACTCATGACCCGCAAAATGTAAGTCGAGTACTCTAACCAACAGGTCACGCCAGACCTCCCAGAAATAAGAAAAAAGTTATAATCTTCAAACTATTTTAATATTCTATTTCTGAAAAAAAAGTTCATTGCTTGGCTCAGCTAAACTAGATCGTTCTTCATATTTGAAAATAATAAAAATCATCATCTGAACTTTATCGGCTGATTTTACAGAAACATTGGAAGTAAGAGTTCCACTATAAATATATGAAGTGATTGATCATCACTATTTATCAAATGAATAAATTTTAGACAGTCCTTTTTTTCATTTTTTTTTCTTTTTAAAAAATATGTAGATAGATATTTGCCAGTAAATAAAAGAGTTATTTAAAATGTATTTTTTCATGTTAGTTGTTATTTTTACGTAACGTTAACTTTATGTGAATGATTATGTAATATGTATTTGTGAAATTAATTCCAAAGATAAAGGAAGCCCATAATTACTTGATCTTCGCAGCAACAAGTGATTCGCGGATTAATATATGGAAGGACAGTTATAGTGATTTGTTACAGGTGAAATGAACGAGACCAGAATCAGTGCGAAGATAAGGGAAAATATATACTTTATTGGCTGGAGTAAAAAAATATAAGCTAAAGGTTTGTTGGTAGGGTTATTGGATGAAAGTTAAAATTAACAGATAAAATGTGTTCAAAAACTAAATGTATTTAATAAAAGAACAATGTAATAAATTGTACTTGAAAATAAAGTAAAATTTTTGATGATGATTAACTTGAAGAAAAGGTACACACACGGATCAGCAGACTAAATGCTGTAAAGATTAAAACAAGGATGAGACTTTTACAATTTGAAAAATGAATCATAGAATAAAACAACTGCTCTTATTTCCACTCTGTTACTGACCAAACACAAACTTGGATCACAAATATCTCGAGTATGTCTGCTTCATGTGAGAACCTTTGAGCAGTCTCGCATATGAGAGGTAATGTAGAACACAATATAATTATTCCACAGAGCAGGTGGCTTTCTTGATTAAATTGTGTTACAGAGTAGCACCTACGGTTGAATTAATATATAACATCGCCAAATTTATAATTAAGTGTATTAGAATTCTGAAATATTTGCAGGGTAGAACCTTTAAGTGCAAAATCGAATAAATAAGAAAACTGTGGTATTTTCAGAAAGTACTAATCTCCCCTAAAATAGACAAGAATTCGTTAAGATATTTACTATGAAGTAATTTTGTACTCTCTGAGTAACTGAATTCACAAGAAAGAAAGATAGACTGAACACAAACGAACAATCGTAATAAACAATCTTTATTCAAAACAAATACAGTGAAAATATACTTTACTTGTCACAACTAACAGTCGTCTTTACTGGAGAGTTAGGTTTAAAATCATTCAAAGATGTAATAGGTCGATTGCTCAGATGAGGTCAGGAAGACAAAGGGTGTTGCTTTAAGTGAATGACTCTGAACAATAAGTAGTCAGAGCAAAAGGAACTTAATGACCTTCTTGATCAACGTGTTACGTAAAAACTGCACGTACCTGCACAAGTAATAAATCTAGAAAAAATTATGTATTAATACAGAGGTATAAAACACTATACCACACATTTTTCTTCCTTAAGTCAACGTTAATGTTAACTTAAAAGCCAATTAAATTTCCAAACGTAACTCTCTCTCACCCCTATATAGACACGTACACGCAACACAGACAACATGAGAAACTCGATTGTTACATTAAAATATACTTTAATAATGGGGAATTATAAATGAACTATTTTGCAACAAAACATGGGCAATTATTATATAGCAATGATAAAATAACTTTATCATAGGCTAGTTTACAGAATGACTTACACAAAAATACACCAGCATTGATTGCAAAGCATTAAATTAACCCTTAAGCAAATATCAAAAGCATGAAATAAGACTCTTAAAACAATGAAATAATATCATAACACAAAAAAAAGTCTAAACAGTGATTAAGAAACAGCGAATTTTGATGGTCATTCCATTCAGACTGTAATGATTAAAAAAAATTAAAACATACTAACTGAAAACTCTTCTTAATCTAAACTCGAAACAGGAACCAAAACATAGAATTAAACAATCCTTGATGAAATTAAATCAAACCTTTCAGAAATATTAATTCAAATACAAAAATAAAACCTTCTCATAAATACGGCATCACATTATTGTAAATATACACAACTCTTCAACATAGATGTACAATACAATAACTAATGATTCCACACTATATTTCTAGAAATCAAGTTCGATATAAGAAAATAACACTCTTTAAGAAAAATTAATTACACTATAAAGTTGCGAACAAAGAAATGCAAAATAGACACTGCATTGATGAAATGAGATACATCAGTCAATAAGAATACGATCATCCATTTATCAGTAACTACACCAACTCTTTGATAATTGAATATAGCTAATCACACAGTAAAAATAATAATTAGAAAATAGAAATTCGTATATTAACACACATCTACCAAAAAAGAAACGTCAACAAGAACGCAGTGAAACATATGAAATAACCCTTACATAAATATTCCTTCCACTACCATCTGATTATTACATAAACAGAGTATTACATAAACAGTATGAAAGAAATGGGGGTCAAGAATTCAGAAACTTGCTCCTACGCACATGAACTGATACAGGGTAGCAGACATTAACCGCTAAATTATGAACATGAGAATCTGTTAACATCATCTCTCCCTTGTGACTATTTTCAGGTACAATTTTGGTACTATCCCTATGCAATTACAAAGCTTCATCATACAGGTGTTAGTTTGTTCCTCTAACAGCATACTCCTCTTTAAATGCACCTTTTCTCTAAAAGATGTTAAGTATATATTCAGTAAAATTATGTGCTTATAAGATATTTCAAACTGCATAACTGAAATTATTCTAGCACAATCAAATAAAACACTGATACACTAAGTTGACATTCGATATGATATCCAAGTTACTTTCCATGGATTTCATCTACTATTGAAAATTTCAACGACTCTTCACTTTTGATTCAATCCACTCAATATATCTTGCACTGTTCTTACTGAAAATCACTAGACAAAACTGTTTCCTCTCAAACATAGGGGGAGTTTTCTCGTCACTCTTGTCTATCCATGAAAATTCACTACCTGACAAATATTTTAATGTCAAAATTGAAATATTCTCTGATTAGTATTTATGAAATAACAAATTGCACTGGATCTGGCATAGCCTGATGGTTAGGGTGTTTAACTCGTAATCTGAGGGTAGCAAGTTCAAATCCCCGTCTCTAAACATGCTTGTTCTATATGGTTGCTGATTGGCCAAGTCACCTGGGTGTACAAATTCTTAACTTATAAAAATACCAGCCGACACCAAGCAAATTGGATCAAGGTAGTAATAAAAACAGTTGTAATGTATGTTCCAGTAATGCTTTCCAAGTCAGTAATTACTAGGGGTGCATATCTCATCATAGAAGTCGATACGAAATGAATCTAGATATTGATACCGCGATAGGATACTTATCTAGATACAAAAGTTTTACCAATGGTTTGTTACAAAGTTTGACAGTCTTGTCTGTAATTTATTATCTATATTACTAACATTGTCTTATTTACGTACTTCATACATTACAGTGCTTTTTCAAATTCTCAGGTTTGATCAACTAAATAGCAGCTGGCAAGAGAAGTAAAATTAAAAAAGTTAATATCTGTCTATCTATTTTTCTGCTGTTAATTTGTTATGTTACTTTGCATGTAATGTTTTTTATAAAAGAAATGAAGACAACATGTAGCACTCAATACTCATATTCCTTTATTGAATCATTAATTGCTGTCTCGCTATACCTTTAGTAATTACAGCTAATTTCGTACCACAATGTCTTAACATTCAGATAAAAGAATCTCATTTCCATTCACATGTTGTTTAACTAGTGTGTTCTTTGTATATTGATCAAATCATGTTATATAACACACACTAATGATTTTATGTAATATTCATACACACATGTAAGACTACATGCATATGTATTATAACACACATTAATGACTTTATGTAATATTCATACACACATATAAAACTACATGCATATATTATAACACACATTAATGACTTTATGTAATATTCGTACACACATGCAAGACTACATGCATATATTATAACACACATTAATGACTTTATGTAATATTCGTACACACATGCAAGACTACATGCATATGTTATAACACACATTAATGACTTTATGTAATATTCGTACACACATGCAAGACTACATGTATATATTATAACACACATTAATGACTTTATGTAATATACGTACACAAATGCAAGACTACATGCATATATT